CCCCCCGTTTCCTCTGAATTTTTTTTTTTCTACCAATCACCTAAACCTAGTGCACTATGTCTCATTATAACCCCAAAAGCTTGCCTCCAACTTGTAAATAGCGTAAACAAAGGTTTAGTCATTAATAAAAAACTTGGTATGGAAATGGTTCTGAAAAAAATGCAAAAACTAGCACTAAATAAAACGAAACAGTTGTCATAGTACTGGACGCCCCCAGCGTCCGATGGGGTTCAAAGAGTTAAGGCGAGAGTTGCTATTAGCTGGACACCACTGTACTAATGTTCTAATGTTAATTAGACAGATAAATAATAATAATAGATAGCATTTGTATAGCGCATATCCCCGCTCAGCAGCAGGCTCTATGCGCTTTACACTATATTATTACCCCAGCAGACCATAGAACAGTCCGAAACATTCTCAGCTTCCCGGGAAGCATACAGATACCACTGTACATGTACTACTGTACTGGCGTTGTAATGTTAACGTGTTTAAAACAAGAGGTGTTAATTAGGCGGACACCACTGTACTAGTTAATGTTCTAATGGTATGTTTAAGACGATATATAGTTGCTATTAGGCAGACACCACTGTAGGCTACTACTGTACTGACGTTCTAATGTTAATGTGTTCAATTAAGGCGAGAGTTGCTATAAAGGCGAACACCACTGTGCTACCTAATGTTCTAATGTTAATGTGTTTAAAGCAAGAGTTGCTATTAGGCAGACACAACTGTGCTAACTTAGCATGTATTTATTTTGTCAACAATACGAAATTACATTTGACATAGGTACTTGAGAATTCTCGAATAAAAATGCAAATGAACATGCATATATATATTGCTGTGTTCAGTTGTCCAACGAGGCCTACAACGCGATGATGAACATGCCACAGCCGGCATTGCTTGAGCATCAGATCACGGCCATCGCTTCTGCAGCAGCCGTACTGGCGCAGGATTTGCCTCCCTTTGAACCCAAGTCCTTGCCAAAGAAACAGATCAGCAAAGAAATCCAGGTGGGTCAAATTTGATTGTTTTTCAGGTGGATCAAATGGGTGTGGGTCAAACTGAATTCTTTTCCAATTGATTATTTTTTAATTGATTGTTTTCCATTTTGGTGTGGGTCCATATTTTTTTTATTTTATTATTTTTTTTTTCAGTTGGGTCATATTTGATTGATTACTTGGTGGGTGTCTAAAGGTCCAATTTTTTTTTTTCGAGGTGGGTCAAATTTGATTGTTTGTTTTTCCAATTTACCCAAGCATTTTTCAAGATTATTCAAGATATAGTCCATTTTCATATGCTTGTGAAGTTATTTACCAGTTGTTTTTTTTATTGCGTCAACATGTTGTTACCATGTTGCTATAGGTTCCTGTACATAGATAAAATAACCACAACCCTGGTGTGGTTTTCTCCTTCTATCCTATCAAATATCTGTCGTCCTCATCTCCTATCCTCCTCCTTTTCTATCAAATGTCTGTCATCCTTATCTGTCCTCCTTCTTTCCTATCAAACATCTATTGTCTTTATCCCTCCTCCTTCTTTCCTATCAAATATCTATTGTCCTTATCTCTCCTCCTCCTTTTTTAGTGTTTATTGCTCTCTTGTAATACCTCTTATCTATGACCTTATTGTGTTGCAAGTGCTGTAAAACTCTTTACTAAAAATGAGTTTGCTTTTCCTTTCAGACGGTTATGCTAATGTCGTCGGAAGACCCCATCCGCATGGATGCGCTGAGAAAGTACGCAGCAATCTATGGGCGATTTGACTCCAAGAGGAAGAACGACAAGCCAATGTCTTTGCATGAAGTAAGTGGTTGGAGTAGAGTAAAGCTTTGTTGGTTCTTGAACCGAAGAATTGGAAACTTTTTGTTAGAGATGACAAAATTGGAAGGTCCTACAGTATTTTTTGTGGGTGGTTGGCGGGTGCTCTGGTGTGGTTTGCTGCTTCTTTCCTATCAAACATCTATTGTCCTTATCTCTCCTCCTTCTTTTTTGTGTTTGTTACTCTCTTGTAACACCTCTAATCTTCTGGTGCTCATATGACCTTATGCAGTTGCGAGCGCCGTAAAACTCTTACTAAAACTAAACTAAAAAACAGTATTTTTATTTGTAGTTTTGTTGTTGTTGTGCTTTTCTAATAAAAATGTTTATTCCATTTGGTCAGTCCAGTGTGATCCTTTTTATTTATATTTTTTGTGTGTATTTCATTGAACAAAGGACTGTAAAAGAATCAATCTCTTCGGCACACTGAAAAACTCAAGACTCTTTGTTTGAGGTGACAGCAGTGAAAGGTCCTCCTTTTTTGTTTTGTTTTGGTTTTCTAATACAAATGTATATTCCTCCCTGTGAGATGAAAAAAGATTGTCATTGTCATTATTCTCTAGATCTCAGTCAACGAGGCTGCTGCTCAGCTGTGCAGCCATTTCCCCGCCCTTCTTACTCGCCGCGAGGAGTTGTTCCCCTTGGCTCGTCAGGTGGTGCGAGACAGCGGCTATCAATACTCGAAGGGTCACTCAAGGTGAGACAAAACTACCTGCTCACAGAGTGTTCTTATCAACAAAGCTCTTCTCTTCTACCATATACCATACCGTTGTCTGTTTTGGGCTTCTTTGTTTCGTATAAAGTGAGGAATGGACGAACAAAAATTCTTTCAACAGGAAACTAAATTTGTGAAGTGTGCTGGCTAAATGAGTTACTTCTCAGATTCTAGCTTTCAGGAAATAGATACATCCCACTTATAAGTAAATTTTTTGCACTTTTTAAGTAAGAAATTATAAATGGCATGTTATAGTTAAAGAATATGGCATCAACTGAAAACACAAATTTGAACCTAGTGTCAATTTTAGGCCAATATCTCCATTTATGGACTGCGCAAAGTACCTCATTTTGTCAGCACGCCTCACAATTGTATTTCTGATTAAAAATAAGTCCATAAATAGAACTAGCTGAAGTGATACGTTCTGTTTTGAATTGATCACTTGCTTGATCCATGTGCTGGGATTTCCCACAGCTCAAGATTACGTGTTCTTGTATGAGTTTCCTTTACGTCAGCAATGGTTTCCAAAGTTTCCAACTTTCCCAGAAAAGAGAAAATTTTACACTTGTGGGTGTTAAATAATTTTATCAAAGAGTCGTAGTTTTTTTTCTTTATTATTTTAATGGGCCATAAAGAGAAAGTATTACGCTCATCTATGAATGGATTGAGCTCTTTAAAATGAAAAAACTTTATCACTGCTTGGATGAGCAAAAATGTCAACTATGCACACTGAATAATTTTATCAGAGTCATAGCTGTATTTCCAGTATTTCTGAATCGGAATACACATATACCTGGAATTTCCTTTCCGTTAGTATCATACGGTTCAGCTAGAAAGGGGAAAACCTAAGAAGACATAGAAAATATGTTGGACTTGTAGTTTGTCTATGGATTAATGTCATATTTAAAAATGAGTGAAAAGATATTCACTGTAAAAATGTTTTAATTGGCTGAGGGAAGGAAAAGTTCTTTCTAGGGATTATAAGTGGCACGTGTGTCACCTCACTTCACAAACTCTCTCTTTTGATTAGACATAATGATCTAACACATTTGTTTGTCAATGTTGATTCTGACATTTTCTTGTGATATGTTTTACCCTCTTCATGTGAAGAAAAACAGCCTTCTAAGGAAATATTAAAAATCTAGGCTAATTTGCGTCTCTTTTTTCAGATCATTTTTTTTCCTTTTTCTTGATTTCACGATGCCTTTTTGTCCTTTTTTCTTTTCTTTTTTTTGGGGGGTATTTATTTCTATAGTTTTATTACCATGATCCGGACTGTAGTAGGCCTATTATGTAAATATATTGGATCTAGTACGTTATAGGGTGCCTCCACCTATCCCTGCCCCCCCCCCCTCCCCCCCGTCTTCCCTCCAACTGTTATTTTGTTTTTTTAATTTAATGAATTGTTCAAAATGTTTTGATTGTATTATTTTGATTCTTTCAAAAGTGCTGTAAGCTTACCACTCTTGTTATTTCCTGAAGTCTTGTGATATTTGAGAACTTATATATCTCAGTCTTGGTCTTTTTTATTGTTGCAATCAAGAGCGGTTGAATCACCCAACATGAAAATAAAGGCAAGATAAGATGAAATAAGATAATACTTTATCATCCCCTCCCCATGTGCGCTCTCAGTTCCACGGGAACGTTCACAAAAGTCTCTGATTTTTCACTTCTACAAGTAGAATGTGAGTGTCGTATATTTTAGTTCTTTGGGAGAATGGAGTAAATTAAGGGGAGGCAACCACAAAGAAAATTCTTCGAAAAGACTACGTTTGAAGAAGTGGCTTACCCTTTCTATTTTCATCCACTTTTTACTTAATTTGTCGCCTTTGAGGCAGCAATATGTATCTCAAGTGCTCCGTAAACAACAGAAAAGTCATATTATATTAGTGTCGCGGAACGTGGACTTAATTTATGAGTTCTACACCGCAACAAGATTTATGTGACAACAGTCGAAACGTATGAGTTCTAAACTGCAGCAACATTTATGTAACAAAAGTCGAATGTCTATAAGCTGTGTTGTTTTGGCTTCGGTGATGGTGGTTCTTAACTTCTCTTGAATTCAATTTCAATCTCAGACCACCAAAAAGTGAGGTTGGCCCTGATATCTCCCAGTCCTTGAGGTAGGGCATCTCTCTCTCTCTCTCTCTCTCTCCCTGTCAGTCTCTCTCTGACTCAGCCTGGGCATTTTTATGTATCCCAGTGTTGCTCGCTCGTTCATGGGGTTGTAAAAACCATATTTCCTCCCGATACTTGTTTTTATTTTGCTTCTCTGTGTTTCGGTTTGTGTTTTCTGTTTGTTTGTTTGTTGTTCTTTTTTACTTTGAGGGTTGTGGTATTTTTTTCCCCCCCCACTAGTGGATGTTATAGAGCTGTTTGGTTGTTGACTTAGATTTTGTTTTTCGTTGTTTTAATTTTTTTTCTCAAATGAGAGCATGACTTGAATAGGAGCTTCCGGGCTGAAACTCAAAGCTTGCCTTAGCGGTATTTCACGTCTTCTACTATACCATAACAAACGTAAATACAGCAACACTCTGCCACATTTTAAAGAAGAATTTCCCTGTCCTGTAGATGACCATCAGTCGACTAATCAATTGGTCTTAGGATATCATTTGTGTGGAAATGTGCAAGTGTCAAGATTTATGGGATTTACCTTTGTTTTTGTATGTTTTTAACAGTTTATGTCGGGCTTTTGTATTAATATTGTGAGGGCGCTCTTTGGGACATCAGTCTTTTTTTTAGAAGTCTCTCTGGACCATTGTCATAGGGCCTAATTGATCAATAAGATTTTAAATTTATACCCTTTGGGAGTGGAATGAGCGTAATTTTTTTAAAATATGAAAATAAAAAGTATGTGCTGCCATAGCGAATTGGTGCACAACTTACCTGTCGTACAAAATATTACATTTTCGACAAAATTACATGAAAGCAGAACCGTAACTAGCTGGACTGTCAATATGATATCAGTGTCATAGCTTGATATTTGGAAAATTCCACGCTGCCGTAATGTTTTCAATGGTTGAGAACACATTTGGTGTCATTGTAAAGCTGACATATTTGCACAAGTTACTCATTCTTTCATCATTTGAACAAATTTTGTGAAATAGTCTTGATTTGCTACAACATTTTGTGATGTCGTTTTTTCGTATGTTTTATTGTATTTTGGAGCTTCCAAAGCATGATAGCTGAGAACCTGTGTCAGTTTTAGTGCTATGGTCATGGTTGTTAGTTTAGCTTCCATGTCATATGTTTCCCCTCCCCTCTAACCCATGTCGTTATAAGGTCATAAATGAATTGGGACATGTAAAAAAATTTAACATGTGGGTCATACATGTGCTTTTTTTTTCATGCACTGACTTGGACAAAAGGTGTTGTCTATTTTGCTTTAAATTTTGTTGCATTTTGTGTTTTGTAATTCCTGTTCAGTGTTAAAATGTTGAAGGAAACTTAACCACACCCCTCACGTGGCTATGGTTCTATCATTAAATGCTTGTGTAGAAGATGGGGGCCTACGTCTTGTCGATGACTAACTAACACGGTATGTGGTGTCATGCAGTTTTAGCGTATTATAGGCCTATTTGAACATCTCGTACTTTGATTGTGAATTAATTAGCAAATGCAAAGGTTTTATTCTATTGATTTTTGCTTTATTTATGTTTTTGATTGTTAGTTGTTAGTCCAGTACGTTGTTTGATTATTTCCCATGGGATTTGTTGGCTTTCTTTTTGTTTTAGTAAGCATTTTAACGGCACTTGCAATTCAGTTAGGTCAAATAAGTGTCAAAGATTAAAGGTGTTGGAAGAGAGTATCTAACAAAAAAAAGAAGGAAGGTAGATGTTTTGATAGGAAAGTAGGAGCAAAGCACACTAGAGCACCCACCCGCCAGCCTCTTGTTTGGCTTGCTTTATTACAAGGAAATCACACAAAAATTACATAAAAGTAAAAGACTATTTCTTGTGTGAAAGACTCTAGAGAATGTGTTTATACTTAATATGTGTTCCGACGCAATGGAATCAGGCTCTCGACAGTTTTTGGGCATGTGGAGTTAATGGTATCATCTTTAAGCTTGTTCATTTGTCTTGTTTTCGATGAAAAAAATATCCATTTATTTTGGATACAAGTCGACATATTGGAAATTGAAAGAGATGGGGTTCACCTGGTTTCAGAGGTAAAATTTGGAAGAAAATGGCCACCAAAATTAAGATATTTCCTTAGCTTGAGAGTCTATTTAATATGTGCGAACCCTTTTATTTGTAGCACTGTATAACTTTTATTTCGTTGTGATATTTCTTTAGCATTATTTTTAATGTAATTAAGATATTCTAGGATTTGCACCCGCCTCATCTTACGATGCTTTATAAATCTTTGCCATATTCTTAGTTTTGGTAAACACTGTACTTTTTAAAAAAATGATTGGACGGTTCATGGGTTCTATGGATTGATGGGTTCTCTAGTGTGGTTTGCTCATTCTGTCTTTCTTGTTATACATCTGTCATCCCTATCTCCTACTTTTCTATGTAGGTTGCTTTCTAGCAACCACTCTAATATCTGGCACTTCTATATGACCTATTTGTGTTTGCAAGTTACGTATGAACTCTTACTAAAACAAAACGATTGCATGAAGAGTAAATTATAAGAGTTGTATTTTGAGGTTTGTTAGAGGAACAATGCTGGTAGAACTCAGAGGTTCTCTGATATTATATTCTGTTTGCTCTCTTTGTCTTTGCTTTGTCTTAGCAATGTGTCATAATGCGGTGGATTCAGGCGCTCATCAATTTTTGGACATGTGGAGTTATTGGTATCATTTGAAAGCTTATTCTTTTGCCTTGCCTTGAATGAAAAACGTATCCATCTAGCTTGAATAGAAGTCGAGATATTTGCTATTGAAGAAGATGGGGTAGTACTGTGGTTAAATTAATTAGAAAACGGCCGCCAAAGTTTGGTAACTTCAATAGCTTAAGAGTCCTTGAAAACTGAAAATTACATACTTTGTGCCTTTAAACAAGGTTTTTCAGTAAACTTCACATGGAAATGTGTTTTCATATGAACAAAAAAGGTCTAAAAATTGCCAAACTGATAGAAAAATACCTTTTTCTTTGATTACATTGTTTTGACGAGCGCCTGGTTTCACCATGATGCCTCACTTATGATGCTGTTAGTGACGGTGGACATGTGTAGTGTTAGCAGCAACAAACTGAATGGAGTGTCTTTTGAAAGCTGCTATAAATATCGCAAGATGAACTTTAGAGAGTGGGTGGTTGGTGGGTGCTCTGTTGTGGTCTGCTCCTTCTTGCCTATCACACATCTGTCATCCTTATCTCTCCTTTTTTGTGTTTTTTACTCTCTTGTAACTCTCTTGTAACACCTCTAATCTTCGGCACTTATATGACCTTATTGTGTTTCAAGTGCTGTAAAACTCTTACTAAAACAAACAAAAACGTTAGGGTTGTGACTCAGAGAACTGTTGTTCCGAATGTTTCTTTTCTCACTTCGTATTTCGGCGGCCTATCTTTAGAGATATTATGTCAGCAACAACATTGGTTTTTCTTTTTCCAGAAGAGTGGAAAAATAATACATTTTCTTTGTATTTATTTTATTTTTCCAGAAGAAACTTATTGAGTTTAGCTTCTGTAATTAGTCAGATTTATTTCTTTTAAAATATAGGGAATATAGCGAATAAGAATTCTTTACTTCATCCAAAAACCAAAACATTTTCCCCCCAAAGTGTGAAATACTTGATTTTTGAACTAAGTTATATTGAAGTTTCATTTTGCTGTTCTTTTTTTATTTTTTGATGATTACTGTGTTCTAATTCTTTAAAGTTACACTTTACCTAACTCTAAATGACTGTTCTTGCTAAACTGATTGTTTCAAAATGACATGTTTTACCATTCTATAATTTTATATGCCAAAATTTGTTTTCACAATATCTTTTTTATACAGAAAAAAAAATTATACATTATTTTTTTTACTTTTTTTTAACGCTGCAAACATGATTGCACTGGTATGATTTTACATTTATCTTTTTGAAGGTTAACGACATCTGTAATAAGTTTGACAATAATTCGTGACCAAGATTTCTTCTCATTTCTCTTCCCTAGGGCTGCAGAAGTGGTCGTGCCGCCCAAATCAGAGCCTTGTGATGTGGTGTCTACCTCCCCTTCCACGTCTTCCTCTCCTCGAGGCTATGACAAAACTTTTAACGATCTGCAGGTTTGTATTGTTCTGGCTAAGTGTTTATTTGTGAGGCAAGTGCTGACACAATGAGTTATTTCTCACAATCCACAAACTATGGAGTTGTCAGTAGAAAATATACTCATCAAATAAGTCGATTTTAAACTGTTTTCTACAAGTTAAACATGTCTTTTATTGTTTCATATAATAAATTGACAAACTCAACCTTTAGTTTCATGGAATAAATTGTACAAACCCAACCTTTAGTTTCATAGATTTAAATTGTACAAACCCAACCTTTAGTTTCATAGATTTAAATTGTACAAACCCAACCTTTAGTTTCATAGATTTAAATTGTACAAACCCAACCTTTAGTTTCATAGATTTGTCTGTATTCAAAGGGAAAAATTGAGAGAATTAATTCTTTTAGTCCTGAGTTTTCTTCTCCATTTCCCGGAGATTTTTTCTACTGCCACCTAAACCTGATGCACTATGTCTCATTATAACCCCCAAAGCTTGTGTCCAACTTCAAAATTGTGGAAACTAAGGGCTTAGTCATTATTAAAAACCTTGGTTCGGGAATAGTTCCGAAAAACAAGCAAAAACTAGCACTAAATAAAACGAAACAGTTGTCACTAGTACTGGACGCTCCTAGTGTCCGATGGGGTGGGAAAAGTTACTCATATTGTCAGCACACGTCACAATTTGTTTACAGAAACACAGAAGGTGTTCTCTCACTAATTTTTTTTTTTTTTCGCAGGATTTGTTTTCAGTTGCACAGACAACAAAAATAGACTCAATGATAAATGATCATTTCAGTCTTCCTTTCTTTTACTCTCCTTCCATTTTTTCTCTTCTGTTTTCTTTTTTTTTGACTATTCCTTTTTTCTTTCTCTTTTCCTTTCTTATAACTAGTGTCAAAAATTCCTGTTCTGCCTGTCCTCCTCTTTACTTACCGAGATAAAAGATTTGCTCTCCTCAGCTTGTCTTCTTATTCTCTTTTTCTTGGCTCACAACAATATTTCTTGATGTTTTTATGCCTTTGGTCAAAAAGTCTTCACCTAGGTTTTTTGTTTGCAAAAAATAAAAAAAAACCCCAAATTCCCACAGACTGAGTTGACAGACATCACCCTGAGCCTGTCAGAGATGGTGAAGGAGCAGGATCGCATTCGCAGTGCGCTGCGGGTCTTACTGGAGACAAATGACCACGAGCAGATGCGAGCTTTGACCGCGGAGATGGATGTCCTCAATGATCGCCAAACTCTTATGACAAAAAGAAGGCAGTCGCTAGTGAATATGATTGCCAAGTGAGTTGAGGAAATGGTTGTGGTGTACATTGCTGTACAAAGTACTGTCTACTGCACCCCCCAGCATTGCACCGCACCGCATCACATCACACCGCACCATTGCAGAGTACAACACCATAGCGCATCACACCACACCACACTCCTCAGCACCAAACTACACTACACCACACCACATCGCACCACACTACACCACACCACACAGCACCACACCACACCACACCACACTCCACACCACACAACACCACTTTGTTACACTTCGCACCATAACACACCATCATATTTCTGTAGCACACAATGGTAGTAATAGAAGTTGCACCACTTCTTCATCTTACTGAATTTTGTTGTGACCCACTGATATAGCATTTTGATGTGCTTTTAAAAAGATCTGAGGACACTGCAAATTAAGGTACCAAGCGCTTTGTTTATTAGTACTCTGCTTCATTTTGATGGACTTGCATCAAAATAAATAATGGTGTATCGGCAAACGCTATCCTTCTGTCGGGATATAAAATTGAAGTACTGCTATAAAAGACTCTTTGCTCCATCAAAACACATGAATTGTGAAATTACTTTCAGTACACAGGCTGAGATTTTTTTTTTTTTAAATTTCTTTTTCTCTGCATTGTCAACAAGTGGTAGTAGTGGCGTCGGTGGCCTAGTGGTTAGGCTACCAGACTCGTAATTGTGAGATTGCGGGTTCGGGGGTTCGAGCGTGAGCTCGGTCCGATGTTGTGTCCTTGGGAAAGGCACTTTACACGAATTTCCCTCTTGGCTCGGTCTTTTCAGAGACGGACGTTTAACTCGGAGGCCCCGCCTCTTAAATGATCTAATAGTGTTGATAGGGGCGGGGCGTTAAACCTACCATTTCATTTTCGAGTGGTAGTAATTGGATTAGTAATAGCTGAATTTTGTTTCAGTTAATTTAGCACTTAACATTTTCTCATGACCAGCTTGAAGTAAAACAAAATAAATAAATATTCTGAGTGTTTGTCGGTGGAATGTCTTTTTTATGAGCTGAAACTACAATGGTGATACTCACAAAGATTTCCATGTCCCTGATAAGACATATCAATCCATTTTTCAACCATACTTTTCACGTATAATTTTCTACACATTTCTTCCTTAATTTTGTTATTGGTATATTCATTTGTTTTGAATGTAGATCTTTGTCTAATAATAGTATTTTTTTTCATGTTTCAGATACAGAAAAAATCCAGCCAAATACTCACCTCCTGTAGGTATGTCTATGCACCTTATTACTTCAGTCATGTATTACTGCAGTTTGTCAGTTGTATTTCAGTTTGTTTGGCTTTGCTGTTATGAGCTTTATCGTCTTCCGGTATTTAATGGACAATGGGATTTTAAAAAATTATTACAATTCTGTGATGTTGTTTGTTTGAGTAAATAGAAGCACATTGATGGACACAATAATGGGTCATTTAGTGCAGGGAAAAAGTAGGAAGGATGGAAAGAAATAGAAACGACAGAGGGAAAGTAACGAAGTAGGACATACCTGTGGGATCCTTCCAACCACCCACATTGTGGTATTGGAATGGATGAACAAATATTAAAAAGGAAAAGATTTTGTTCTCCCTTTTTGGATAAATGAAACTTTGAAATTTTACTCTTTGACTCCTATTATGTTTACTTTAGATGTATGTTTCTAATTGTACTGTTTGTTAGCGTTGATATAAGCCCTCCTCCTAAATTGTATTGATGAACAATCACACTCAGACATACACTCACTATCACACACACACACACACACACACACACACACACACACACACACACACACACACACACACACACACACACACACAAAACATACACATACAAACAAAACACACATACACCCACTCACACACACACACACACACACTCACACACACACACACACACATACAAAAAAACGTACACATACAAAACACATACACAAAAAACAAAAAAAAACACATCACATCAACAAACACACAAAAACACAGACTCAAGACACTGGCATGGGCACAAATACAGAAATTCTCCTTGGTTGTAGTAACTCCATAAATCACTGGTAGTCGTTAATCCGTAAATCATTCTCTCTCCTCTTCACAGGCGCCTCACCATCTGTCTCCCCACGCTACTCCTCCACCTCCAACACTCTGTCTTCTGGGACAAACATGAAGACGAGTGGCCACGGAAGATCCAACAACAACAACAACAACAACCACCACAGCATCAACAACAACAACAACAATGGGTTGAAATTCAACAGTGCTGGTGGTGCTTACACATTGGGTTACACAGATGAGTTGGGGCATAACCCACTCAACACACTCTACATAGCAGCCTTGCAGAACAGCAAAGATTCTCTTTTTGAGGAAGGGTTAAGGATCGCCACACAGTACGGAATGTCGGACTTTGCCCAAGAGCTCATCGGCATGAAATCCAATGAGAAACTGGTCGAGGACACAGATAGCGACGTAAAAAAGCAACCTTCTGAAGTGCTTTCTTCTTCAGAGTCTTCGGGCAGAAAATCATCACCCTCCACTTTGTCTTCATCTCCATCAGCAGCAGCACCCGCTGCAACCGTGTATGATTCTGTTGCAATGGCGACGACGCCCATCCACGCTTTGACAACAGCTGCAACAGCAGTGGCAGCGGCGTCTGCTACGTCTTCGTCCCCCTCTAGGAAATCACCTGGAAGCCCCCCCGCCTTTGTTTCCATGGCAACTGTTTCGGTAAGTGATACTCCTCCCCGGCTTTCAGCAGCACCCAGCCCCGCAGGTTCCAGGGGGAGCCAGGGCAATGGAGGCTACAGGGACTGTGGGAATGGCTTCAAGAGAGACGACATGGCTCAGGCTGAAACGAGGGTCAACGCTAGCCCGAGCTCCTTCACGTATTCCGACGCGGACAGCAAAAGCAGCAACCCTGCCTTGGTGGAGTACCCGAGAGGCTCAGACTCGTTATCATCTCTCCTCCCCTCCACAGACGGTTCGGTTGACTTCAGCAAGCACTCACTCCCGAGTCTACCAGCGACCGCGAGCAACGGACTGAGCCCGCAAGACGGTGCCGCTCCTCCGGTGAATGTCACCGCAGAGTTGATAGCGGGCAGCACCACCACCACCACCACCATCACCACAAAGTCAGGTCAGGTCATTGAGGTGGAGACGAGACGGTCGAGCCGACGGAAAAACGGAGAGCCGGACTACTATCTCATCAACGGAGGTGAGAAGCGCTTTCGTAGCTCGGGCGGTCGAAGGAGTAGTAGCACGTCCAGCGAACGCGCGGCACGACTTTCATCGTCTTCTATGATGACATCATCGTCACCGTCACCCGTCACCTCCCCGTGCAAGGTGAAGAATGATTTCTCGGGAAAAAGCGACGAAGTAGTTCGTATGAACGTCAGTGACTTGAGGAATCGTGAGGGATATAAGTTTGTGAACAAAACCATCTTGGACGTGAATCAGATGGGGAAAGGTGCTTCTTCTTTCTCGGACACTGGCTACCCGGATGACCTTGACCTGCGAGACACGTATATTGGCCACGATCAGAACCATAATGCAACGGAGAAGCGAGTTGGAAGGAAAAAGTCCAAGCTCCACTACCACTCCGAGGTGAGTCAGAATGGAGAGCAAAGCCAGCAATAACGCAGATGGTCGTGGGCATGAGTCGAGGAAGTTTCAAATCTTCCACACAAAGCTCTGTGTCCACACATGACTGAAATCTTCTCACTGGACTACCCAAACACGGCAAGTAATGAAATCTGCTGTGAACCCTAGTAAAAGTCTTTCTCAATCACATGTATGTCGCTGCTCGGAAATAGTACCGCAGTAAGTCTAACGGATTATCGTTCGTTGCCATGATAATATACCTGTCGAGCACAAAGAATACACAAAGTGCTGAATCAAGTGTAGAATCAGGAATATCTTTCCCAGACTTACCCACATCAGATGGGACTGTCGTCGGTTCTGCACATTGGTTCTGTTGGTGACGTAATGATCTGGATTTACCGAGTTACATTTCCCGGCAGTGAAGTTCTCTGACACATCCCTACCTCTGAATTACAAAGTTCTATCTGACATTTTTTCTAGCCTTTTTGAGTTACTAAAAAGCGTGAGATCAAAAACCAAATGTGAAATGTGCTGACAAAAAGAGTTACTTCTTGGATTCAACCCTTATATGGAAATAGATACATTACGTTTATTATAAGTGAAGTTTTTACAATTTATAAGTATGAAATAATAGGAAGCATTTTATACATAAAAAATAAGCCATCTATAAGAAATCTATTAATTTGACCTTAATGTGTATTTTTTGCAAATTATCTCTCCAAATGTGGATTGCGAGAAGTAACTCACAGATGTTCTGTCTATCAAAATCTTAAGATTATTCGGAGTCGTTATATAAAGATATCAATAGAACTGCATTCGAAAAAGCTTTGCATGTTGTGAAACTCAAAATCTTTTACGTCAAATTTCTTAAAACTTGGTACTGAGCAGATAGAACTTTGTAATTTTGAGGTAGTGACATGTCAGGGTGCTTGTGATTTTTCTTTCTCATTTCTTGTATGAGTTACGTCTCTTACAATTATAAGCTGAGAAATCCATAATATTTTGCCTTTGTTAATATTGATTGATATTGTTTTTGTCTTGCCAAATAATAATATCTTTACATATTTTTCTTTTGTTTTTGTAATCTTGAAGTGCTGTCAAAGTATTTTGCACCATCTCAAGGACAAAAGCAGTCGAAATGGTTTGTTATTATTTTTATTCACTTTGTGTGCGATTGTTTGTTTTTAAACATTGTAAGTTTCGTTAAATGTTGTCATTGTACCGGCATTGGACATAGTTTGTGTTTTGCTTGGTTGCTGTTACTCTTGCTCTGTATCGTTACATTTTTTCCTTTATTTCATATTTATGGTCTTCCTGAACAGTATCTTTATCAAAGATGGATGAACCGGGAACTGAATTGTCTTATCCAGAAAGAAAGGGAGAAGTTATGCCTTTGTACAGCACAAACAGCATACTTTATTCTGGTAATATAGATGCAGAAATGAAATCCAGGTTAAATATGTAGGGAGAGTATGGCGATGGCAGATGAAAGTTTAAAAAATAATAGTAATAGCTCTTTTATATCCTACCATAATAAATAGCTTTTTATATTCTGCCAAAATGATTTATATTAATTTGACAAATTTTATTCGCCAGCAATACTAAAGTAATTTAATTTTTTCTTTTTACTCGATTCGATTTCTTGCTTTTTCTGACCAATGCAGCAGTCAGTTTTTATGTGCAAAGGAATGTAGTGTCACCAGTTCATTGATTAGGTGTTAATTATTCTTTTTTTTAAAATAATTATTTCGTTGGCTTCATTATAGCATTATAGTTCTAAAACTGTTTCCTTATTCCCAGAAACTAGTGTGTGCTGAATATAATATATATTGATGAAATGTGAATATGTGTCCCAAAATACTGTGTTTGAGTCTTTAGGAATAATATGGAGTGTGTGCTGACAAAATGAGTTACTTCTCAGATTCAAGCCTTATGGAAATAGACACATCATTCTTAAAGGGGAAGTTTTTACAATTTATTATAAGTAGCCTATGAAATAATAAGAGATATGTTTACATAGGCCTATAAAGAATAGGGCATCAATTTAAAAAATCTGCTAATTTGACCTTGGTGTTGATTTTTGGCCAATATCTCTCCATTTGTGAATTGTGAGAAGTAACTCATTTGGTCAGCACGCCTCATATATATATATATATGTAGTTCGGGTTAGTGTGTTATCTTACACGTGTGATATTGTAACCCCTTCAACACCCTTTCCAAGCTTCACCTTTCTGCACTGTCTTCTTCTACGTTAGCCGTCTTATCTATTCCTCAGTATTTGTGCTGCATACTTTTTTGTCATTTTAAATTAATATTTCTGTGTTTCCCAAATGCTTCTTCTGTGTGGGTGGTTGGCGGGCGCCACTGTAGGTCCTTACTTCTTTACATTCAGTCTGTTAAATTATTTCTGTCTGTCTGTCTGTCTGTCTGTCTGTCTGTCTGTCTGTCTGTCTGTCTGTCTGTCAGTCTGATTTTTCCAGCACTAAATGACCGTTATTGTGTCGATGTGCCTCTCTTTACTCACACTCAAACTTGTTCTGTGATAAATACGCATGCTGTGAGCTGAGTTAGTATTATAATGCTGGGCTATGGAATGTTTGACTCTTTTTGAATCCCAAATTAGGCATTCTGGAAATTTCAAGGATGAGTTCTTTCGGCTCCATCTATTTGGCTCGATTGTATTGGAGATGGACTTAAGTCACTTGAGCCTGAGCTATTTTTCACCCAACAGCCACTGCAGCCTGACAGTTTTGGGGTATATTGAAGCGTTATCCACTAAAAGACTGACAGCTATTTTAATAAAGAAAATGCAACGGCACTTATATGACCTTATTGTGTTGCAAGTGCTGTAAAACTGTTACAAATTTTAAAAAAGAAGAAAATGCAACCAGAGAAAGAAAGAAATGCTCTCACAGAAAAAGAAAACTGCATCTAATTTGTCCAAATAGTTTCTATATCAAAATTTTGAAATGGCAATATCTGGGGGTTATGCAATATTTTGTTGCACCCAATTTGTAATAAAATCATATATGGCAATGTGGAGGTGACTGACTTAGTCCATTACAGCTCAAAAAGTATCGCTCATTACTTCAATGGAAAGTGCACCAAAACACAAAGCAGGTGGTTGGCAGGTGCTCTGATTGTTGTGTGCTCCTTCTTTCCTTCTATCAAACATCTATGGCCCTTATCTCTCCTTCTTTTTTGTGTTTGTTACTCTCTTGTAACACCTCTAATCTTCCTCACTTACATGACATTGTTGTTTTACAAGTGCGTTAAACTTTGAATAAAACTAAGACTGGAATCTCCTTAATTGCTATTTTATTGATAAATATTTTCTGTTTGTCAGGAGTACTAGAAAATTTGCATTTTCAAGTCTGTAATATAAAGAAAATTACTTCCTTGTTAAGAAATTATTTTTACTTTGGTATTAATTCCACAAGACAAGAAAAATATGTACTTTTTGTTTAACAATTAGAATATCAATGTTGTAATTCCTGAAGGAGAGAAGATTTACTTTCTTTCAGATAGAAACTTTATTTTTTTTTACTTTAGGTTCGATTTTACAGACATGAAGGAAAGAATGGTCATGCTCATTATAATAAAAGATATTTATAATGGCAGTTTCTCTGTGTGATTCACATATATATTTTGTTTCTTTTCTGTGGGCTTTTTCTTGGTACACACACACACACACATATAT